AATTGTCTGTTTATAGAATTAAAGAGAAAGTATTATCACATAAAACGAAGCAACTTAAACAACTTACATTGAAAGAAATGTTTAATAAAGTAAACAAATAAATATTAAGCTTTTTTGTAAATTTTGATACCCTTTAGATCATAATTGTTCTTTATTTCATAAATTACGGTTTCATATTTTTAATTTTAGAATTTCTGCATGCCATCTTACGAGATTTAAACTGATGATCTATAATCCGGAATCGCCGAAGTCCCGACGAGTCCGGATTAACGACTTTTGACTGTAATTTGCTTGTGATAAATTTCTATAAACTGCATCATTTCAATATTAATCCAAGTCACGATTTTTTGCATAATGCTAATGCTGTGGCCAATTAATGCTTTTAAATTTTGGAAAGAAAACTTAAAATTAACTGTTACACATAAAGCTGAACTAAATCTTTCTAAACCAGCCTTTCATTTTGGACACATTGCAGTCTCTGTGTCACATATCTATGCTGTCAACTCAACTTCTGCCTGTTGCTCTTTCTTCAAATATATATCCCCAAAATTTGAAAGCTACTAATGTAACTATTTTTGGGAAGGTGCTATTTGCATCTGTGGCATATGTGTATGAAATAATATGGATGCTGCCGATGTGTAGATGAATAAAGACACAGTTGCAGTCATGATCAGTTTTAATATTTGTTTATTCTCATTACTAAATGTTAAATGAACACAGATAAAATGGTGCAATAAGTGCACTTCTTCTTGAAGAACTTTTTACATTTTTGGAGACATTGCAGTACAGTAAGCAGCCACAGCAAGTTTGCAGTAGCAAAGCGAGAGAAAGATTGCTATGTGCCAAAGATAACATCCTTGTTCAGAATGATTTAGTTTTGGTGTAGCTATATTTTGATTGGTAAATAATAACTTTCTAAAATTATTACTGGCTGAAGACTTTATGTAAGTGCTTGCATCATTAGTGTTATGCAAGACAGTAATTAATTTTGAAATCCTCTCAATAGGCAGATACCCTTAAATTGCTTTGCCTTATTCAATTAACATAACACTCTATTATAGATTTATCTGGTGTTTCATAGCCTGGTGTTCTGTTAAAATTTTGGAAAAACAGGAACAGTATTAAGAAATCTGCTAGAATATACCTACTTTGTAAAAGTAGTAATGTTCATAATCTTTTAAATGCCAGTGAGATATTTTAAATCCTCTGCAAAGAGAATGAGATTTTCTATACCTATTTGCATATTAAATGTTGGATTCTGAACTATTTTGCTCAGAATGTTTCCAATATTTAAAGCATATGTAATATTACTGACTAAAAAAGTATAGATGGATAAATTTTTAAGTAAGTTATCAGTTTGAATTAATGTTATTATTAGTCTTAGTAATTTCTAAAAGAGCATCATAGATTTTTCCGTTTTTTCCCATAAAGTAGAATGGGATTTTAAGCTTTATGAAGACAAAATCCAAATTTTGATAATTTAATTGCATTTTATTTAACAATTTTATTAACAATAAAAACTGACAAGATATATTTTGAACATTAAGCACTACTGTCTCAGGGGGATTAACAGATAAACCAGCAATGTGGTATTTCAAGCCAGATTTTGATTTTTGAATGACACTTTCTTAATGATGCATGCAGTAAACACAAGATTGTATCACATTTGGCATCTGTTGAATGCTATGCGTTATATATAGGTTAATGCAGCAGCTTAAGAACTAATAAAATACAAAGTCTGAAATCTGGACTACCAGCCAATAAAAAAATAAATGAAATAAAATAATACAGTACAAAGTCTTTAATCAGGACTCGTCGGGACTTCGGTGATTCCGGATTAGGGCTTTTTCCGTAGTATAGATCATCAATTTAAATCTGGTAAGATGGCATGCAGAAATTATAAAATTAAAAATATGAAACCGTAATTTATGAAATAAAGAGCAATTATGATCTAAAGGGTATCAAAATTTACAAAAAAAAAAAAAAAAAAAAGCTTAATATTTATTTGTTTACTTTATTAAACATTTCTTTCAATGTAAGTTGTTTAAGTTGCTTCGTTTTATGTGCTGATACTTTCTCTTTAATTCTATAAACAGACATAATTTCTTGTTCAGTTATGAAGTTCCGCTGTTCAAGTCCCGTAATTGCCGTGCCGAGAATACCGCTAACTTGTCAATCGAAATTTTTTCGTTTTCACTAACCTCTCTGTCACTTTCTTCATGCCATTATCCATTTTTTGCAGCAGTTCCACTTTTTGTTTGATGGACATCAAAACGTGCTTTTGCTTTGTAGATCCTTTGGCAGCTCCAGAATCGGAAACTCTTTTTGACATAATCGAAATGTCAAGCTTACTTTTTATAAAATTGTTCTAAAAGACTGCAAAAAATAATAAGCCGGATCCAGTTAGAAGATTAAGGAACAACGCAGTCTGCAACATTAACTGAAATAGATAATTTTAGCCTAGCTTATACCGTCCGTTATACATTAAACGCGCATGCGTAAACATATTATGCGCATTTGTAAATGCTACGCAGGCACAGAAAGTTTGTAGCTTTTGAGGTCCGGATTATAGATCAATCCGGATTATGGACGTCCGGATTAAAGACTTTGTACTGTACAAAGAAATACACCTTGTAAAATCTAGCAATGGAGAATATAATACTCAATAAAAGGAAGCAGGTGTATTGTAAATTTGAGTTTTCGTTAGACTAGAGATTCCCTCATGTCACTTTCAGAGATCTGTTGGCTAGAGCGTAGCACTTTAGCCAGTAACAATACATTGACATTGTATTGATATTGTCTAGGCACACATTTTTGGCCCCTTAGTGGCTGTGGGGGGGGACGGAGGGCAGGCACTACGCATTTTGCAGCCCATTGCAATCTATGTGGGTCCTAAATTCTTCTGCATGGTGTCTCTCCAAATTCTTAATTCTGCTGCCTGGTGTCTCTTCTAAATTCTAAAAATTTTCTGTCCTTAACTTTTGCTTCTTGGTGTTCCATTCTAAAATGTGCAGCCGTATTAGATGTGGGGTTGGCCCAGTTCAGGGGTTAGCATTCCTCTGTCTGACCTAGATGATAAGTGAAGCCCCATTATTGCCTTGTTTACATGTCATCTGTCTAGATTTAGACTGTGATCTAAAATCCAGAAATGCTGAAGTCCTGACAATTCCGGATCCCAGACTTTGTACTGTAACACAGTACATCAAAAATACTGAAAAATAGCTGTTTTACATCTGCACCTCCCCGTTTTTCTTAAAATGGCATTTCTGCATTCTTAATTAATACATTTAATGAGTAAGTGTCCTATAGTTAAAAAAATTGAAGAAAATCAAATTCCTCTTTTTATTTTTTGTGTGTCCACTATGTTTGTCTTGCATATAAGCAAGCACTAGTGACATAAGCTTGTTTCTGTTATTCTAAAATATTGTTATTCAATAAATTTTAATGTTTTATAATTAATTCAACGAGTATCATGTAAAGACTGAAATTTTAAGAAGTAATAATGAATTTTGTGATATCTGTAATTTTATTACAATAAATAAACCTAAAAAAATAGTAAGATAATATTTTCGCCATTCTGAGAGGCTAAATTTCAGAGTAGTCTCAAGAGATTTGCCTTTTTAATTTTTATTCTATTTATGAAGTATAGCAAACTCTTTCTTAAATGACCACTCACATTTCCTAATTGTTTGGGTCTTTTTTGGAGGTGTTGTCATGAAGGAGTGATGTTTGTAGTACATATGCTTATTTAGAATATAAGTAAACATCACTTATCACACAATTATTCTCAGAAATACTTTAATTAGTCATTTTTGTAGATAAGTGCCAGAAGAGAGTTCAAGGTACACACACCTTCACAAATAATGCTTATGTAACCACATTTCACAAATAACATTTTATATTACTTAAAAATAAAGATTTTTCTTTTAATGTTTAGGTGTAAAATTTTATGCAATTGGTAAATCAAAGTTAGAGAAAATGTCTACTTTTAGAAAGGTGGTGATAGCTTTTAAAAAATTACTGTTTTCACTATCAAGTAAATTTTTTTTTTTTTTTTTTAAGAATCTCTAAATGTTATGCATTATTAGCTGACAAGGACAATAAATAACATTAGTGTTCAATAAACTGCCAGTACTTTTTATGAATTTTATATAAGCTTTATTCTCCTTAGTTAAAAATTTCACACTTAGCAGCATTTTATGATTGATATAATTTAAACTGTGTTTAACGTGTTCATATTTGAGCATTACAAAAAGCTCTAAAAATGTCATTTCTATGTATACGGATCATGTATCTAAATCTGTTGGAATATGTTCAAACTCTCTGTTACATATCACGTGTATTAAAAGGAAATGTCTAATCAATTTTAGAATTTGTTGAGAAATTAGATTTTCTTTCAGCTAAAAATCTTGTAATGTTAGCTATGCCTTTTCCCTTTAAACTTTCATTACATGAACATTTGCTACTGTTTGCAGCAGGACCATATTAGTAGATGAATTATAGAGGTGGCCACTCTGGACAAAAGATTGAAAAGGTCATCAATTTATCAAAAATTAAATAACCTTGTTTTTTGATATTAAAACTGTATCGGGTGTCAGATGTCTTCTGATGAGGTATGAGAATATTTTTTTCCCTTTTGCACATATGTACCTTACCAAAATGGTGACCCTCTTTATCAGGCACAACCTGAACACTCATACGGGGCTGCCGTACTGCTGAACATTAAAATTGCAACACACACACACACACACACACACACACAAAATAATAATATACAAATTTGAGTGATTGCAGATGTAGCTAAGACATGCAAAATCAAATTTTCAAACATCTAGTTTAAGTCAGTGACATGTGGGAAGGGCTTAAATCATATAAAAGCACAATCAAATGCTGCAAATAGAGAGAGGTGGAATCCTTGAGCTCTGAGATGTTGATTTATTACTCCCGCATGTAGAGACATTAGGTATTTTTTGGAAGCAGGAAAGATGAAAAATAGCAACCACCTTCACCGGGAATCGAACCACGGACCTCTGGAATGCCGGCCCAGCGTGCAGAACCACTACACCATGAAGGCACGCTAGGAAAGTGGGAGAAAGACCTTATATACTTCCCTTTTTAAAGGGCGACTGGGGTTTTTAGGGGACCTGATCGCCAAATCCTGGATGTGGAGATCCATCATCCATTACCCTTTTAGTTCGACCGCCACTGTAGAGACATTAGATAATTTTTTGAAAGCAGAAGAGATGAAAAATTAGCAACGCCTTCACCGGGAATCAAACCACGGACCTCTGAAATACTGGCTCAGTATGCTGATTACTACACCACAAAGGCACGCTAGGAAAGTGGGAGAAAGACCTTATAAGCAGACTGCTATGTATTCAGGCCGATATGCATTGTATATTGTACTAGTTGCAAGGACAACAAACTTGGATGAGAGCAAGCAGAGGACAGGCTTCTCTTGGTCTTCTTCCCAACAGAGAGGACTAACAACTTCTTCCCAGAGACTTCTGTTGGGAAGGATTGCTGGGTTAGAAAAATGGCATGTAGTAATCTTAGATATCGGAAAATTCAGGAGTGACTTCACAAATTCTCAGAAGGTACTTATGTGGCAGTGGCCTGTGAGCCGGATGACCAGGGTAAGTATTCTTTTGACCACCACTCTCAAAGGCTATCATGAAGTACATCCAGGTGACAGTAGAGAATAAAATGTTGGATTGTCCTCTTCAATGATGAGTCTCGCTTCCATCTTGGAAGCAGTGATGGTTAGAGATCAGTGGAGATAACACATGGCTAGTGCATTCACGAGAGAATGTCAAAGGGTATCTGCTGCTCGAATAACAGTGTAGGGTGTGTGGCATAATTTGTAGTAGACGGACTCTTCTAATCTTCCTTCCTAGTTCACTTTCAACTCACAATGGCATTGATTGGGTTATGGAGCCAGTTACATCATTAGTCGACTGGCAAAAAGAATAACCAAGTGCCATTCTTAACGCTGTATGTGTCCAAGTGCTTGCAGCATGGTAATAGATTTCTCAAGTATCATTTATGACCTCGTTGATAGCATACCAAGGAGAGTAAAGGCCCGTTTCCACTGCTGTGTATGCATTTCTTCAATCAGCGAGCGAATTCACTTTGATTGACATCTGCAATCTGGTCGATGTGTGGTGATGGATGGAGTTAAACAATGTTCAACTTCTATCCGTACGTCTGCGGAAGCATTGGTGTTACGTGGTAAAAAAGGAGCAATCAGGTGTCGTCACCAAAAACTAATGGCAGTAGAAGTAGCGATGAACGCTGCATCAGGGAATGAATGTTTTGCTAAAAATTACATATTTCTGAATTAAAATTATAGTGAGAAATCTATGTACTGAAAAAGACAGCAATCAACTGAATTTAGTTAAAAAACGTTAAAGAAAAATAAGATAACTGCATCTACAGAAGTAGTTAGCAGAGAGCAGTGATTACTGTCAAGAAAATCAGGTGCAAAAAATATAATTCCAAGACCATGAAATAGCAAAATTTGTCCTTACGATTATTTCCTAATTCTGCATACACATTTACATTTAATGAAAATGAACATCTGACTATATCAAACTGCTATAACAAATCAGATAAGGCATTAAAAGACTTTTTTGATTTTGAAACAGGTAAAATCTAATAATGTTATTTATAATTTAAATTTGATATCCTTTTAAATATTCTACTGCATTAAAAAGTATGTTAAATTTGTATTTCTCTATTTATAAATATACCTTATTGGCTAGCATATATTTGTAAGCACATCTTTCACTTGCATATACTTTTATCAGTCCGTCTAACTTCAATAGGAACACCACTTTAAAAAATTGTTTTTTTAAGAAATGCCCTAGAAGCTCAAGAACAATCTTTGGTGAATTTTTTAGATGATGGCACACTGAAATAAGACCAAAAAAATTAGTTTTAGAAATTCATTTACTTGATAAAGTATATAAACCAAACTTGCTAATTCCGTTCGTGTGATGGTAGCTTAGTGGTAAAGCTGATCGCAATCTCGTTTGACCTTTTGGGGTCGTGAGTTCGAATCCCATACTCTTTTTCCACCATTTGTGTACATTAAATATAATGTTTTATTTGTGTTTTTATTTATTTAAGTTTTCCCCGCAAGAATTTATTTGAAAGTTATGATATAATATGAATTTAAAGCATACTCCCTTGTACACACACACATATATATATATATACGTTTTTTTTTTTTTTTCACTTTTAAGACTTTAGTATGTGTCCAGCTCTAAACTTTCACTACCAATTAAGATGAGACAGTATTAATGCCCTAAACTTTTAAAAAAAATTATTATAATACTTGCTTTAAAATTCATTCCTATCCAGCTGAAGTGTAGGAATTAATTAATATTTCTATTTTCTTTACGTTATGTATATATATATATATATAAGCTTTTCTATAAAAAGAGATATGAATTTAAAATTTATAAATTAAAAATAATATTTTATGGGTTATGAGTAAAATATAACTGGTCATAGTGCATTTTCAAAACAAACGAGATTTCTAATAAATTATCCAGCTATGACACTGAAGAAATTGATGCTAAAATTTTATATATTACCTGTTTTCGCTCCAAATTTGGGTACATTTTAAAAATTTACAATCTCATATGGCAGTCAGTGGTATACAAGCATAGCAAATTTTGTGAACCTTTCTTTGCAGTTTCTGTATATTTTTAAAATACCAGCTATTTTTTTAAATGAATTTAACATTTTTATTTGTTTTGCAGTAACAGTATATTTTAGTTTTAATTATATATTATTTCATTAATATTTAAGGTTTCTAGAAACGTAAAGAAATTTTTAAAAATTACTTCAGCTTCTATGAAATTCTATACTCGTGCAGTCAAGACTCTTATTTCGCTCGTTCGCTTTGTTGTGCTAAGTATGCTGTTATCTAAAATGTGATACTCTATATAAAATTGTGTGGTGTCTATTCCACCCATCATCATGTGTGATGAAAAATATGTTTTTGCTTTAGTTCATATCCACCAATAAAAGTTAATTCAACCCAACCTCATCTGTCTACAAGTCTCACCTTCAAGTGTTATCTTTCTAACTAGGCAGTAAAGTCTGCACAGGATATAACACAGAGACCCACGGTCAGTGTGTTGCAGCTTACTCCAAGTCATCTTATTACATGTATATATATACTATTACGTGTACCTGTATAGTACATATGTAGGTAAAAGAAAAATTTTCCCTTTTTTATCCACACAAATACTCCCTACTCTGCATTTCTTCTGTGTAAAAGAGCAAGAAATAAAAAGTGAAATTAACCAAAAAACATAGCATTTAGATTCTCTCATTAAATATTAATATATTTTATAATTAGAATCATATCATAATTAGTTCAAATAACCTGAATCATCAAATGAATTTAAGTCAGTTTAGAATTCCTTTTAAATAGCATCGCACATATCATGAAAACCTGCCCGCCCCCCTTTTTTTCAGCTATGCTGTAGGAATAAAGCTAAATTAATCTTGAATCAGGGTATATTTTCATGAATAGCAACTGTGGTAATTTTCTTCTCTATGCTTATTTTGATATCAGTACATGGATGGGAACCAGTAGAGTTCAGTTTAATTACTTAGTTTGGTTATTAACTTCATTTTAGCATAAAATAAACATCTTAAAGTGAAAAAAAAATGCTAAAGTTTTTGCCGAGTTATACAGTACAAAGTCTTTAATCCAGACTCGTCGGGACTTCGGCGATTCCAGATTAGGAGTTTTTCCGGATTATAGATCATCAATTTAAATTTGGTAAGATGGCATACAGAAATTATAAAATTAAAAAAATGAAACCGTAATTTATGAAATAAAGATCAATTATGATCTAAAGGGCATCAAATTAAAAAAAAAAAAAAAAAGCTTAATACTTTTTGTTCTTTATTAAACGTTTTTCAACCTAAGTTGTTTAAGTTGCTCGTTCATGTGCTAATACTTTCTCTTTAATTCCGAAACAGACATAATTTCTTGTTCAGTACAAGTTTGCTGTTCAAGTCCTGTAATTGCTGTGCCGAGAATACCGACTAACTTGTCAATCGAAATTTTTTCATTCATAACCCTTTTGGTCACTTTCTTCATGCCTTATCCATTTTTTGCAGCAATTCCACTTTTTGTTTGATGGACATTGAAACATGCTTTGCTTTGTAGATCCTTGGCAGCTCCAGAATCAGAAACTCTTTGACATAATCGAAAGTTCAAGCTTACTTTTTATAAAATTGCTCTAACAGTCTGCAAAAAATAATAAGTCGGATCCAATTAGAAGATTAAGGAACAACTCAATCTGCAACATTAACTGAAATAGATAATTAGATTATTTTAGCCTAGCTTATACCGTCTGTTATACATTAAACGCGCATGCGTAAATGTATTATGCACATGTGTAAACGCATATGCGCATGCATAAAAGTATTAATCACATGCGTAAACGCTACGCATGCGCAGAGAGTTTGTAGCTTCGAGGTCCAGATTATAGATCATTATAAACGTCCGGAATAAAGACTTTGTACTAGGTGTTTTCAAGGCAAGGAAAAATTCTGAAAATTATGATAGGAGGTTGATTATATTTTTGTAAAAAAATTGTTTTCTTTAATTGATTACGGTGGTGCACACAGTCGAATGTGCCAAAGGAAGGGATGCCTTGTAGAGGACTACTAAGGGAAACTGGCTCATATTTGTGTTACACAGAGAAAAACTGTGAAAAATGCCCATTCCAGCAGCTAGCCTGTTCACTTGGCTTTGAACCCTGTACGAACTGCCAGTGTTCAGTGAACGTTTTTCACTAGCCAGCCCGCTGGTGGACCTCCAAAACTTATTTGTGACTAAATTATTACCCCAAACAAATCCCATAATATCAAAGTCATGGGTAATATTCTTTGTCTTTTTTTACATTTTATTTAATATGTAAATATGTGCATAATATCTTAGGACAATTACCTCTGAAAGTGCAAATATTTGTGAGAGTATAATTAAAAAATGATACTTTACATCACTGACTTAAAGTAACAGTTTGCACAAAAGACCGAAATCATGTGATATTGTAGTTGGTTATCATGGGGAGGTCTTGCTGTGTTAATGTAAACCTGACATTCAGCTTAGATTGTTCTATAGTAAGATCTAAATATTTTCGATATTCTCAAATTCATTAGACTTTCCAGAATATTTTAATGTTTTTAATTAATCAATGAAACTAGTGTGCTGTTTTCTTCGTGGGATAATCCTTCATAAATGGCAATTTTTGTAACAACTGTTATTAGTGAAATTGGTCGTAATTTGTTGCGAGTTCCAGAACTGTATGCAGTAAACCACTTGACACTTCATACATTGAAAATTAATGATCTTGGTATATTAAAATATATTTAGTGGTACTAAATTTGCAAAATTGCTCATCTTTTTTTACTATTCTTAAGTGGTTAAAGGTTGCACAGAAAATGCTCCAAGATATTTCATCATTTTTGCACTGGTGGTGTTTGATAATTGTGATCAAGCCCTTTATGGAGATTTGGATGGTTTCCCTCTCCCTAATATTTTTTTGTCTCTTTATAAGAAAAGGGAGTTTTATTCTATGATGACAGACTTCTTGCTCCTCTGGTAGGATTATAGTGCAGTAAATGGAAATCTTAAAACCTAGACTGGTTTTATATAGGGTGCTTTTATAAGATCACGAAAGGTTATGGTGTTTTATCTGAGATAAGTATTTCCCCTTCTCTTGAATATCGTGCCGGAAGTTGAAGATTTTCTTAGATTTGGATATGTCTGTCAATAAAAAGGAAGTTGGTTCTAAACTGATTTGTATGCTAGTATGGCAACTTTTGGAAATTGTTATCTAGATGATCTATGGCCACATGTTCTTACAGATGACTCGTTTTTAGATAGAGATGATGGAGATAAAGCAGTTACATTTAGTGATTTGCTTTCTGTTGGAGTACACACCATTTATTTTGTCAGTGAGATTGAGACTCTTAGCAGTTGTACATTCATTGACACAAATTCTTTGAAACTTTCCAATTCAAGATCCACTTTCTATGCTATTTCTAATTATGACTATAATTTCATTTCTTGAATTTTGCATTGTAAGACAAAGCAATTAAGTAATTAGGTAGTGTTATATTGGGTCCTTATCCATTGTGACATATACAAAGATGAAATGGCTGATTTTTTGGCAAAAAAGATTACCACTATTCTTAAAAGACCTATATGCCCATTATCTCTTAATCCTGTTAGATTTCTTATGCACAGAAATAATGATAATATGGCGAGGGTGGAGCTATGTATCTCTGGTGAAGGAAAGAGATGGATTTCACTGCTTGTAAAAGATCTCTGAATTGTCCTTGTGCTGCAGTGGTAACTTATTTTATACTTTTGATGGAACATGATTGTTTGCATGCTCATTTATTTACATTTAAATTTAATTAATTCTCCTCTTTGTGTCTTATGTACATCTGGACAAACTTTTAATGCTAATTATTTAGCCATTGCTCAAAAATATTAGTGGGTTAAAGAGCTAATGGCATAATAATGAAAAGCTTAGCATTTGTAAACAACACTTTCAGTCATAAATAGAAAGTTTGTTGGTAGAGCCATCAATTCTTACATTGACAAAAGCTTTTGACTGACTCAGATCTTGTCATTTAATTAATGGAATTGAAATAAGTTAGTGAAAAGAGTAAAAGTTATTCTAGTTTGAAAATTAATTAAATCAATCCTAAAATTCACCATGAAATCACTACTTTTATAGGAGCTTTTATTATTATTATAGGTTTATAATTATATTCACATTAAACGATTGCATTATTTTGATTATTTTCATAAAATATTCCAAGACTCTTCACTGATTGAAGAATTATGCATGAAAAGGATTTTGAACTTGTGAACGAAGTTATGACTTAACATTTCATGCACTTTTGTGCGAGCTTCTGTATTGAATTATAATATCATTCTTCAATGAAATGTTTTAACAAACGTGACCTGTGAGAGATTCGCCTCTCAGCGGCCAAGTGATAAAGTGACTGAACACTGGTAGTTTGGTCCATTGTTCTAATTCCAGCAAACAGGCTGACTGCATGGGCATTTTTTAGGTTTTCTCCATGTGCAGCAGGTATACAAGCCAGTTTTCCATAGGAAGTCCTCCATGAAGGCATCTGTCCTCTTAGGCAGATAGCCCTCAAATGCTTTTCCATAAACAAACAAACAAACCATATTTACGTGAAAGATTCACCATGCATTTGCTTCATGTAATATCTATGACACCATCAAAATTTTTTAGTGCATAGTATCTACATCTGTTGAGGAAGTAAATTTTTAACTTATTCTTTGATGACAAAAAAAGAGTAGCTTGAAGACCATATTTATTTATATTTAGAATTGCTGCATTTTAAGAAATATTTGCTTGTAATATTACTTAAAATTTTAAATATTTCATTGTTTGATATGCGACATAATTGAAATGTAGTTTTATTTATTTATTATTGTTTTTTAAATACTCTTGTAGAGATAAGGTAAAATAGTAATTCAGAAGTCAAACAACAAAAATCAGAGTTATATTTTCAAGTTTTCAGAGGACTAGTTTCGATGGTTTTACGGAACCACCATCCTCAGCTGCAAATGCGCAAATGAAACTTCAGGGATTCCCCCCCCCTTTTGCAGAATTTTCCCTATAGTACCTGCTGTATACTGTACTATAGGCAAGATGAGAAATTTACTATAAAGTTTTATTTTTAAGGCTTTTGTTTTGTAATCAATTTCTTCAGCTTGATATTTCCAATCATACCATATATTAAATTGTATATAAGAGGAAAGGAAATGTTTATTCATTTGAAACGTAATGAGTGAAATTCTTTGCATTGAGTGATGTCATGTGGGCTGCTTTTACTGATCATTTTAAGTTCTTTTGATCTGAAAATAGAAAAATGTAGTATTGAGTCATCTGTAAATATTTCATGTATAGTGGGCAGACTGGAAGTGTAATTAGTGTATAACTATTTGCTCGTAAATGCTCGTGGTTGCAGAATTAAAACTGCATGAATTTTGCATCTGCTATAAAATTCTAAAATTGCAGCATTAACAAACTGTACAGTTTATTATGCATTTTATTTACAAACTTTTTTGATGTTTCTCATTATGCTAGAAATTCATTGAAGTTATATTGTTTCTGCAGTGACTTATTTTTAAATTATGTCCAAAAATATATAGTTCCAGTAATTTTTCCTTGTTTAGGCTAATTATGTTCCTGCCTGTGAAGAGTACCTTGAAACTCAAAAACCAGAATTTGATACAATCCTCTGCCTAAGAGCTACAAAATGGATTCATCTTAATTTTGGAGATGAGGGATTAAAGTTGGCTTTTAAAAGAATGTTTGCCCAATTGCGTGTTGGTGGTCATCTGATTTTAGAACCTCAGCCTTGGTTTACATATTCAGCAAGCAAGAGAATAACTGTAAGTATTTGACATATTGCTTTAAGCTACATTCTTCTAATCTTTGTGTTTTGTTAATTTGTAAAATATCGAAAAATAGCAAAAAATGTGAGGCTTTTTAAAATAGACATGAAATATTTTTAGAATTTATTTATTTATTTATTTATTTATTTTTTTTAAGCTTAGGCTAAGACAATGTATGTGTCAAAATTTCCATGAACCACCTCATACTCTGCATTGTGCTTTTCCTTTTATATTCTTAATGGGATTTATCCAGGAATACACAACCATCATCAAAGTCGTCAATTTTTCTTGATACCTCCCTTCCATTTTATTGATGTCTTGATGAAATCTCTTGCCCATCTCTTCGCAGCCAGATTTTCAGTAAAATAGTCCGATGGGGAATTTAGGAAGTGAACCTTTAAGCTCATGGAACAGCCTAAATTTTTGTACTTTTGCAGCATATTTTCAATGGTTGGTTTAAAGTTATATTATTGCCCAGAAAGTTGGTTACTGCATCTTTAATGGCTCCAAAGGCTTCTTTTTCTGCAACTTCCATTTGTTTTTTAAAATTACCATTTTTGATGAGTTTTCTGATGTCTCTTTTAATGTTTTGGCTGATAAAGCTAAAATATTGACCTTATCTTGGCCGTATGTGTTCTTCAACACGGTAGCAAATGTAGTGGGTGCCCAAGTTTTGTTTTGGTCTTCTATTTTCACTCCAAAATACACAATTTATACTATTTGAATGAAGCTTGTTATATTTCTTTTACGCCTTTTCATTATTAACATTAACTCGACACAAATGTAATTAAAAGAATCAGCAGGTATTTTACACATTTTTGAAACCATTTAAAAAACGGGAAATTTGCTTTACGGTATGAAAATAAATCCTTCATCAACAAAAATACATTAGATCATGGAGGTGGGAAGAAAATAGCTAATGGTTGAAGCAGCACTGAGAGTTGCGCTGTCTACGAGTGACATGTACAGCTGCCAGTAAATGTGTTAAGACTTGTCGCAACCAATCAAACTGGGTTACCCCTACTTTTGGCCAAGCTGTTGACTCCACACATGCACTCAGCAATGCAACCAACTCTTCTGCCATCTCTTCATTTTCGACTCAAAAAATTTTATAGATTCCCTAAGGGACATTTAGAGGGAAGCAGAGGGAAAGGGAGGTTTTAAGAGCTGAACAGACCTCTTAAAATAAGAAAATAAAGAAAGGGGAAATGAAAATGCACTAAAATAGAAAATTAGGCTTATTTATAGCAGTTTCATTAGAAAACAGAAGGGGTCAGTGAACCTTCTCCCCTCCATTCAACCTCTCAACTGTTTTACTATAAGAAAGCTTAATACAGGTCAAAAAAAGAATATAAGAAAAAAAGTTTTATGTCTGTTTTAAAAATCTCATATTTTCACAATTTTTCAACTTTTTAAGAATTTTCAAATTTTTGATATGCAAAAAATCCTGATGTGATGGTAAAGAATAAAGGTCATTTTTGGAATCAATGCTAAAAAATACATCAGAATCAGTTATCAAAAAGTAAAAAGTACAGCCATTGTAGGCTTGTATTATTAGTTGCTAACTTTGCATATTGAAGGTGCTAATTTGTATGCAGATATTGAATTTTGTGTTCCATTAGAGATTATTAACATAAATAATTACATTAAGGGAGATTGGTTGAAAATTTTAAACATCAGTTACATTTATTTCAGTTTATCCTTTGATTTTGACAATCAGTGTAAGGGCAGGTTATTAAATTGTGTACCTAGAATAAGAGTTTTAATTAAAAATACAAAAATCTCTATTTTTTATACATATACTGTGTTGAAAAACTGCATTTTGTAAGTTATCTATATTTAAATCTAATAGGCAGATATTTGTTATTGCCATGCATTATTTCAAAGAACTAACATAGCAGATATAACATAGAAGTTGTAGCATTGTGGGGTCTTTATAAATAGGCAGGAACTGCATGAGATAGATAAGAAGAGGGAAGATAGATAAACATTGATACTGAGGCAGACGAGGAGTGTAATATACAGTGAAATTATGGTTAGTGAATTTTATTTGTCCTGAAAGCATTTGTCAACAGAAATTTTCAGAAATTAAAACAGAAGTTAATGTTAAATGGATTATAATTCATCCCCACACCACAGATGAGTGCTTCCAACTTTGTGCATAAGTTTATATCTTAAAACCAATAGAAATCAGAAATGTGAATTGAAAGGGATAAACACAATATTAAATGGATAAAATAGATAACAACTTAATTGAATTTTATAGTACTTCTATAAAGGAGCAAAATAGCATAAATGGAAAATAATGAGGAATAGGTTATTCTTTGGATGTAAAATTCCCTTCCATAAAAACCATCTGGTAACTCTTTAGAGAGCATCTTTTCTCTGTCTCTAAGTAACATTTGACTGTTTCAGAATCATCTATTTTACTTAAAATTTGTCCAATGTAATTTGTTTTTGTCTACATTTTAAAATGTAAACAAAGTAAAACATGGCATTGACACTGAAAATGTTTATTCTGTAGCCTGCTACTGCTTTATCAGGATTATATCATTACATGAAAACTTTGACATTTCTCCGTAATCGTGTTTTGTTGCTGTTTCTGAAGGTTTACTTATTTCTTGTTTAGCTCATTTGTGTGATCCTTTCTGAACTTCTTCATGACTTGATTGTTAACTCTCTCCGGTTTTCTATATTATGATCAGTGATTAATAATGGCTTCAGATGACTGGAGAATTCATTTACTAAGTAGATCTGGTCAGTGCTGCATATTCCACATCATTGAGGAGTACATCCATCACACCTGTTCTTCCATCTGGGGCCAGTGTCTTCCAATTATTCATTGCAGCACTTCAGTAGCCTGATGATATGTCTTTGTCATCCTGCTAATTACTGTATTGCTAGTGCTGTTATGGTTGTTAGAGAGCAACTTTCATCATCATACTCATGTGAACAACGGTGAGTGCCCCTTTTGAATGTCTGTGCTCAACTCTCCTTTGGCCTGCTAGGTCTTAAAATTTTTCACGAATTTAACACATATTGGGCATGTTAGGATGCCATTTACAGCTATCTTACAACATGCATGAATTAGCTGGAGAGCATGTAGCATTTACATGAGTCTGTGTGATCAAATGTAATTATGCACTGCTGTCAGAGGCATCATACTAACATGTAATTGTTCTAGACCTACGTTTGACCAACAAATGGATCAATTATGATGTAATTTTTAATCATATCTTTTCATTGCTGATTTTAGATTTTATCTTGATTGACCGGTTTCTCTAGGTGTGTTTATTTTTTGACACAGAGTATATTTTTAAGTTTTTGAAAATAATTTTTGTTAATAAGTGCCTTAAAAATTTCTTGAAATTATTTTAAGAGGGGGGGGGGAGATAATATGGACTACTATGGACACTAGTTGTACTTTGCTTCACATTTACTTTCAGGCATTTTTTAATATATTAGTACTTCCATGCCACGCAGGGAGTATTTCATTTTCATTGTATGTCTAAAAGTATTAAGTTCTGAATCTGCTAGACTTCCAGTGAGTTATATATCTTAATTCAAATTATCTTAAGATATATTTTCCTTTGAAATTCCTCTGTAAGTTCCATAAATTTTTTCCAGGCATGAACACTTTACCATTATAAATTATTTATCTATGTCTAAAGTTTCCAAAAATAATGTAAAGTTTTTTCGAATGATAGACTGACATTGTAACTTTCTATAGAACCTATTTCCTTCATTGTTAAATTCTGGCTCTGTAATAACAGCCAGGTGACTAATGGCCCACTCTAAATTTTCAACTGAAGTAACACCAACCCAGGAGAAGGTTTAAATAAACCTTTGTATTAGATCTTCTAGATCTTCAGCTTGAGAACTTTCTACTAATAGCAGAAGGCTTCACAACTTAAAAGTTTAACAGAACATAAGTGTTAAATTAAAATTTGAGTATTCTAAAATGAAAATTCACAAGACATATAATGCCTATATAACATGCAAATAAGTTTTGGTTCAGCTCTTTGCATCACATAAGCAAACATGGCTACCAAAAGTTAAAATCAATTTAAGTCAGTTTTAAAGTGGTATAAAAATGTTAGTGGCACAGTCAGCAGTCCTTGCCAAAAGCTTTCTCCTAACTTCAAGAACTCTGTTCTTTCTGGTGGGAGCCAATGGAAGTAGAAATGATTGTGTAGCCAAAGTAGTAAGATAATGTTTTAATAAACATAAAACTTTATGAAAGGGCGTTTTTTTAATGTGGTTGCATGATTTGATATTTTCACATCTACAGACTTGGTGCTGAATGAATATAAATTAGGATAAGAGAAATTACACCATAGAGGTTAAGTTCTGAGTAATTACAGATGTGAGTGATTGTGGTCGGGATGTAGCCCGAATTCCGAATTTTTACTCCTTGTACAAAGTATTGTAATCACTAAAAATTCCGGGTACTGTATTTCAACAAAAATATCCATTTTGACTGCTATCAAATGCAATTTAACGATGTTTTTGTGCGACATCTGTACTAAGGACAAAATAAAGGACTTTTTCTTCTAAAACGAATTATAAAACTGATTTAAAATTGATTCAGAAGAGATTGTTTTTCATGGCATCTGTACATATTTATCTCGCTTAACTCAGAGACTCAGAATGTTGGAATTTTATATATAGGACTGCTGGTAACATGTAGTTGTACACCTCCCATTTCAGTTGGAATCGGCTGCACCAAAAATTGTATATATATGTTACCGTGAAAGACCGAAATTAGAGAATGTCGACTTTCACCGGAGAATATCAACATTCACCAAATACGTCGATGAAAGACCGAATATTTCACTACATTCTTGTATATTCGGACCCTCACCGGTGTATGTCGACATCACAGATGGCTCTGGTGAAAGTCGAAAAGAGAGGTCTAAAGTGCCATAATAGTTTTGTTGTTGCAAAAATAAGATTTGAGTCACAATTAGTAAGTTTTTTATAACTGTTATTTATTT